CAGTCTCCACCCGCCATCAACTCGTTTTGAGTTGGATGCTTAAACCCAGTTTGCATGTGCAGGAGACTGTTATAGCTGCTATATCAATAAAATACTAACACCTTCTAAACTAATACATAAACCTTGTGAGCCTCTCCGCTTATTATCAATTGTTTTCGAGCTAGATACTTAAACAATAGTGAAAACACGTGATAGATCAACAGGGATGATCACCCATGGCTTAGAATTGTGATGGAGATAATATTTGCTATATGTTGGTAAATATTGAAGCCTATTCTTCTACTTTGTAACTGAAAGCAACTAAAATATACTTGTTGATCAATGGCGATAATATAATGTCTACATGTAGTTATAAACAACTTCTGCTGATAAAATATTATCTGGACAATTGGTTGCATGGAATAATGATTTGTGTTTATGTGGAAATATAATCCACACTAAATCGCAAGACAGCGTGGAAATTACCAAAGGTGTGTTATAACACTTCTTATGTGTATCTTTTAGAAAAGGTAAGGTATTAAATGTTTCCTTCAAAAATGAAGTTTGGAATCTGAAGCACATAATGTGTTTCGTATCCAAATTACTTCCAAATCTAATATAAATTGTGTTGTCATCCATTATCATGATAGAAATAATGAAAGAGTTGAATGAAAAGTATGAGTTGTCAGTGTCTTTATTGACTCGCTTTGAAAAATAGTAGGAAAAAAGTTCTATATTGTAATTATGTTTTTTTCCAAATACAGATAGGAGCATATGATTCTTTTATGCTTTTTTTTTATGACAATTGAATTTATTTCTATTATGGGAAAATTGAAGAGCATGAACATCAATTTACAGATTGCATGTTAAACTTTGTTAGGACTCATTCAAGTTGAACCTTCGCAAAACTAAACTCTCACCCTGGGTGATAAATACGATACCCCTTTGACCTAATACTCAGGTACTTCTATACTTTTGGTTCTGTTAAGCAATCCTATGACTCATGATGGATGAGGATAAGACATGTTAAGGGGAAGTTAGCCTATGTTGGACTTTTAACTCCTGTATGGATTAATTCAATTCTGCACAAAAAGTTAAGACTTTTAACTTGGCATCACAAAAAGTTAAGACATTTAACTTGGCATCAGTTTCTCCTAGAGTTGATAACAAAAGAAACCAATCCCAACTTAATCAGTCATGCATTGCCGCATCGTTGGCTCCGCTGGCTAAAACTCTCCGTAGGTGGAGAAATTAGAATTAATGTAATGAAGCACCTTATACAACGTCTTCAAAACTTGCACGTGTTGTTATGCTTCCATATCAAGCTATAGTTAGGCGTTAAACGGATCACCAATCTCTAGTTGCACATTGATGCTACCAGACAATGACAGGTAGGCTTGAATGAAGCGTTATAACAGTCAGTTTCAGGTTTGAATGAAGCCTTATGCATGGTTGAATTCATTGACAGCCAATACTCTAATATAATTAATGTGCTGTTATTGTTACAATCTGCATTGTAGATACCATGGCACAATTGTGTTTTACAGATCAGCAATAGTAGCCAAAAATGGAAATTAAATTCAAGGTTGCAGAGGAAAAGAAACCTTTCATTAAATGAAACAACTCAAAAATTTAACTCCCTTTTTTTTCACTCTGTTATCTATGTGCTGACTTATTTACTCCCCATTCTCCAAACACAACTCTCTCTCTCTCTCTAGATTTTACCTCTAATTTCTCTTTTTCTTCTGTCTCCAGGAGAACAAAGCATTGGTCTAGAACCCACATTAAGATCTATTTGAATTTCAATCAACTGGTGAGTTTCTTTATGTCATGTTCAAGTTTCATTGAGTTTGTTTCTCTCTTTCTATCCTTTTGGATTTATCTCAATGCTAATAAATAATGAGCCCTCATTACCAGTCTGCATTAGAGACTGTGTCGCAATTATGTCGTACAGGTCACTGATATTAACTGATATGGAAATTGAGTTATGAGTTTGTCAGGGAACAAAAACCTTTCAAGATGCAGTAAATGAAACAGCTCAACAATTTAACTCTCTTCGTCATCACCAGGGTATTATTTTCTCATTTCTTTACTTCTCACTCTCCTAACATAACTCTTCCTTTCTCTCTAGATTTTGTCTCTAATTTCTCTTGTCTGTCCCCAGGAGAGCCCAGCATTGATCTAGAACCAATGTCAAAATCCATTTGAATTCAATCTACTGGTGAGTTTATCTATGTTATGTTCAAGCTTGGCAAATAGACATCCACAAGAATTTGCTTATCAACTCCCCGCTAAGAATCGGTATTGAATGAAAATCCCTCTTGTAATTATTGAGTTTCCTTCTCTCTTTCAGTCCTTTGGGATTTATTCAATTCTAATATATATTGAACTCTCATATCAAAAAATGCGTTAGATGCCGTGCCAACATTATGTTGTTCAGATCGGCAAGAATGACCGAAAATGGAAATTGACTTCAAGATAGGTGAGGTACAAAACCTTCTAACCTGGATTAAATGAAACAACTAAACAATTTAATTCTTCATCACTCTGGCATTTATGTTCTCATTTTTTACTCCCCATTCTCCAAACACAACTCTCCCTTTCTCTCTAGATTTTCTCTCTAATTTCTCTTTTCTTCTGTCTCCAGGAGAGCACAGCATTGGTCTAGAACTGATATCAGACTCTATTTGAATTGCAATCACCTGGTCAGTTTCTCTAAGGTTATGTTCAAATTTGACTCAGTTTGTTAATCTCTTTCAGTCCTTTTGGATTTATGCATGTATAATTGTTATATCCTTATGAGCTGCTGTATTTATGTCTCAACTTTCTTGCGATTTTTGAGTTTCTACATATCAGATGCACTTCTCTAGTTCAATTTATATATCTGATTCTGTCCAGTTATAGACAGACATGTGTGCATGTAGGTACATATGCAGACAATAATCACAGTTTTATATGCCTAGTTGTATGTTTTTAACCCTTTATACTTGTGAACAATATCAGATCAACCTAAGGTTTAAAAATCTTTTAGTGTCTCTTGTTCACACTTACTTCTAGGCTTTCTTAAATATGGCTGTTAAATGATTGAATCAAAGGCCTCCAATCCTGTTGCAGGTTGTTATGACAGGTCCAAAAATTTGCTGTGTGACAGCCTTTGGTTCCTGTAAGAGCACTGTAATGGACAATAACAATTTTAGTGGCCCATACGACCTCAATTGGATGTGAATTGAACCTGACCATGAGGTGAAAAATGATGGAAGATGAATAAGAAGAAAGTGGTAACAATCTTTTAAGTAAATAGAATAGTCAATAAGTTTTGGTATCACCACGACTGTTGCTATTATTTTAAATCATTAAAATGTATACAAGTAGATAGATAAACCTGCACACATCTAGCTTTTCTGTACATGAACATACAGAAAGATACACACGGACACAGACGGTTTACAGACAGAAACGACCAATTGGTACATCAGCTAGTTTATATCTGCTTATTTATATTTTTTCCTCCCATGCAGTGATGAATTACTCCGTAACAAAGTTGAATCCAATCCTTGAACTCTGTATGCTTATCTGTAAATAATTGCATATGGGTCTGTGTCTATGTACGTGTTATTGATAGAGCTCTCGTACTTATTATCTGTTGTTTCAATTTTAGTCATATAAGCGATTAAGATAAATCCAAACACTTGAAGATCAAATGGAAGTCCATGCCAAAAAATAGTCAAAAACGAACTTATCGGACCCTCTGACTCTATTCTTGAGGTGAATCGAAAACAAAGCAACAGTCTGGTTTTTGAAGGAATCCAACTCAAGAATCCATACCCACTAGGTGATCTTGTTGTCGACATGAATGGGAGGGACTTTCGCATCAAAGATCAATTTGAAAATGTCGTTAGGGTTGAAGATGTTCAAAAGCAGTTGGTTCTGAGTTCCTCTGGGGAAGTCGCCAGAAAGAAGATTTTGATGAATGGGCATGGGTTTGGTTCCATGAATGCTCTGAGTAATATTGTGACCGATTCATTTGCGTTTGACATTAGTGGCTCTGTAATTGATCATAGAATTTCACCAGAAGGCAAACAAGTATTCAAGGATGTAAGGAGTCTATGAAGTACTCAATAGGTTTATGGAGAATATGATCTCAGGGGGTTGGCTTGATTGGGCACAAATGTCATGCCACACGGTATCTTTTTGCAAGCAATTTACTTCCAGGTCCGGGTTGCACCACAATCCTGACTCATGCTGACTGAAAATCGGAATAAGAGTGGCATTTTGGTTGATACTTCTGCTGAATGCTAGTCTCGTACAAACCGAGATGGTGTTCGTGTTGATTCTTCTAGTCTGGAACTCTGATGCACGTTTAAAGAAGAATGCTGTGTTTAAGATGTTCAAATTTTCACCACTCCTAGCATTGGTGTTAAATCCAATGGTTGCTACTATTGCAGCCATTTATCGTCCTGGCATGATGACTTTGTCAATAGGCACACAGGCTTTACGCAACCCTTTGCAAGCGGTGATTTGGCTAAAGAGCCTACCTGAGAGGATTCTGGCTTTCCAAAGAGCGTGACAATCTTGAGGTTGGTCAAGAAGATTACAGAGCTCAATGGACAGGATATTATTCCAATAGAAAATGCATAATGCTCTAAGGAAAGCTAGTTGTTAAGTTGACCTTGCAACTGAAATTGAATTGAAAAAAAAATAAAAAATCAGATATTGGTGCAGAAAAGAAGTGTTCAAGTTGATCACATCAGAGTCGGATTGAGCTTTTAGGGAAATTTTGAATAGGGGAAAAAAAGATTCTCAAGAGGCTTGAGGCTTTCTAGAAACAAAATTGTCAGCTTAAGAAACGATTGGCAAAGAGGAGGAGGAGCTGCAGTTGCAACAAGAGTTCCTTCAGCCCAGGGACAGTCTATAAGCAACACGTATAGCAGAAGACTATATGACAGATCAAGACCATCGAAAGTAGCGTTGATTAGGTGTCAATCAGAGTTGATTATGAGCGACAGTGTCAAAAAATTTCAAAAGATCCCATTCTGAAAAGTTCTCGACGACTTGAGTGAGTTTGAAACATGTATCTTTTAACTCGTCATTTTTAAGCCAAAAAAATAACGTTTAGAGCACTTTTTTCTATTTTATCCTGTTGTTTGGGTATTTTTGTAGTATTATTTATTTGTTTAGTTTTTCTAGTAATTTAGGACCTTAAGAGTTTTGTATTTATATTGTGTTGAAAAACTGATTCAGTTACTTGGTTTTATTTTGAATAAATGTAGAGACGATTTCTCTTTTCTTCCCAATTGATTTGGTATTCTTTGTAAATCAACAAAGTTTTTGAATGCTTTAATTTGGTATTATTGTGATAACCAATAAATTATAGTTTTTGTTATTTAATCTCGTTTATTTATTCATACTACTCTACATTAGTCCAAAGGCAGCTGAGGTGCAAAATTCTTTTATATAGATACTATAATCCTATTACAACATATGTCCTTTATATAATTACATACACTTGGATTTATGATTGCCATTTGGCTCTCTATTTGCAGAATTTCTGAGAATCTATTTTCAACCAAATTATGACACTTATCCAAAAAAATTTCGATGTACAACAGTTATTTAGGGGATTTCATAACATTTCCGATTGGTTGTCTTGTATTCCAAGTGAGTTGTTCAACAGTTGGCATGTTGAATCATATCCATTATATGATGGATTGGTTTAAATCAATTGATTGCTCTGTTGGTCTTTGAAATATGATTGTTGCAACTGTGGTCCAAAAGAGAGGCTTGTACAAAAGCTACAAGAAAAATGGTGTCTTAAGAATGTTTCTCAAATACTAACATGCAGGATCCATAGATCCAAGAAGATCTGTGATGTGAGATTTTCCCCAGATATGTTAGAGATGAAGCAGACATACCCAAATTAGATTACTGGAATAGTGTTGTTCACAAGCCTACATAGCATTTTGTGACTGGTTGGTGATATATATATATGTATGTATTCACGTTTTAGACCCTTTACAAGCTTCTTGAATCGAACAATTACTTGTCAATACATTTGAACTAGCGACAACCCATGCGATGTATGGATTGGTAACAGGGATAAGCTGATATCTTAAGTTCGAATTTTGACAATCTTTGAGGATAGACAATGAGAGATTTATCCCTAATGAATATCTTAATCCTGGCATAGATGGTCTGCCTTGAACAGAGAGTGAATTAGTCGAGGTGTGCGTAAACTAGCCTGAAAGGATGGGAATAGCCTTCGGGCTTACCAGTTATCATCATATACATGCGGTTAAGGCTACCCGCTTCTGTGGATATCTAACCCATTTTTTTGCTCTTTTCCACCATTACTAAGGGAGGGTTGTTGCCTTGCTGGTTTTAGAATCTCACCAGAATGGTGTTTCACTATTTCCTCAGCAAAATCTTTTTTTTTTTCCATTTAGCTGTGATTATGCTTATTGATCCAAAAAATAAAAAATAAAAAAATGGAGTAATTTTGATTGATGATGATCATTCTGAGAAAAATAATGATCCTGCCATATTTGATTTTCCACTTTTGATTACCTTTGTCTGACCATTGTTAATCTAGTTGTTCAAATGAAAAAAAAAAACAGAAGCAGGTTGGAAGGATCAATCCTGCTTGAATTGTTTGGTTTAAGGTTCACTCGACACGAATACGATACGAAATTAGAGGGCTTTGATCTTTTGTAAGTAACGCGTTTTATAAATGAAAGAACTCGACCTGATATGATTAATAAACGAATTGAGTATGAGTGCAGTTAATCAAATACACTAGTCATTAGACACGGACTAATAAACGAATCGGGTACGGGTGAAATAGTTTTTGACATGAATCCTTTAAGATCCTACACAAACTCACTACACTTGACATGATTGACAGACCTAGATAGAAGGCAAAATCAAGTTGCACAATGAATGCCATCAGGGTGAGGATAAACCCTGCTTATGGTGATACAATGGGCTGTAAATATCCATGTTGAAATATAAATAATTAAGTTATATAATTTCTAACAACTTTTAGAGTAGATGATGATTTTACATGGTATCGGAGCGGAGTAAATCGTGGTATAACAGATCAAACTTTTTCTTTATATGAGCATGAATATTTGGTCATCTTTTTGTATACTGCTCTTTTCCCAACTCATATGCTAAAAAATTCAGTTTGGTCTTCAAGATTCTCTTAAATTTCATGATGGTTGCAGCCAAAAAATTGGAGAGAAGCATGAGATCATAGTCCCTGTGACTCATTCTCTTTGATTTATCATATTTAAAAAAAAAAAAGGTGAATTCAGTGCACAAAACTCTCGTCATTACGGAATTTAAGGATCTTTTGATTTATCATATGTAGTTTGAAATTTCCCACAATAGTTAACTTTTTTCCATGCAATTTTTCCATTTGTAAGCCTCTCTATTATCTCTTGACTCACACCAATAAGACTCGCAATGTGATCAATTACACCAATCTTTCACTTTTTTTTTTTTTTGCTTAAACTGCCCTTTGTCAAAACTGCTACTTCTTTTAAGAACTAGTTTTCCCAGTGAATTAAACAAGTACCAAACAGAAAATTTATTGCTCAACTGGCTTACATTAGTCATGTTAGTACTATTCTTATATGAAAAACTGAGGCAAGTGTGAAGAATCAGCTTCTATCAAGGTTGATGGCTTGTGGAAACCAGGTGATAAATGGGCTAGCATAGGGTGGTTGTGCAGCGTGTATGGTTTGGTTTGAGTTCAGATGGCCCTATCAAATTAAATGATGGATGCCATCCACGCTGAGGCTACAAGAATAGCCCGACTTGGCCACAAAAAGATAGGCAGAGTGGTAAGGCTATGGTACGACACATTAAGGAGAGAGAAGTGAGTTAATTGCGATGAGAGCCCGGACGAGTCCCTTGTGTGATAGTCTAACCCATATTAAGTATATAGTTATCTTCCGATTAGGGTTCCAAACCCGTCCTATCCCTTGAAGCCCCATAGGCGTTGCTTTGAATTGTAGAAAATTACGAAATATATTATCCCCTTAAATCTTGATCGTGTCTTATTCAAATGTCGAGCTTAAAATAACCAAGTCATTGTTAGCAATCAGCTCTTATCCCTACATGCATTATGAGACATAGGATTAGGTTAGTGGTTGCCATATTCCATTCTTTAGCAACACACTTATTAGAGCTTTGACTGTGTTGATATGAAAAAATCAGCAGCCTAGTCAAGTGACAGTAAACACTCGTTTTCCGGGACTTGATTTTCCTTTTAGTCGAAATAGATATTAAGACAACGCAACCAATTTCTTGGCGATTACACTACTGAGATTCATATGATTGCCACTACTGAGCAAATGTAGACAGAATTTGAAAGCAAGGTATTCATCATCAAGGCGAAAGATGGGAAAATCCATGTGTTCCTTATTTTCTGCTTATACTGTTTTTGAAGAAACTCTTCTTATTCTTCCCAAGCAGTAATCTTTAGGCCTCGGGTGAGGTAAGTACATTAAGGGGCACTCAGAATCAAACTGTTCAAACCTGTAAAATGAAAAAAATTATGAATTACACTGCCGTTCTTGAGTAATATCAGTGCAAATAATATAAAGAAAAGGGAAATTAGACACGAAAGAAATATAACTCACTTGTAATTGAGGAGAAAATGATGAAGAAAAATAGAGATTTCTAGCTTGGCAAGTTCATTTCCGGGGCACATTCTGCTACCTGCTCCGAAAGGGAGGTAAGTTCCTGCTTTGGGTGTAAGCTCCTACGTTCAACATTAAGCATATTAGCATCTAAGAATGATTGGATTTTTTTTTTTTTTTGATAGATTGGAACAAGTTAACAAAGGTAGCAGATGTCACTGTAGCCAATATCGGAGACATCAATCTGAATAATTTTGAAAGAATTGACTGAGGAAATACTAAGACAAGTAAGGTCTTGATAAATTGTTTGACTTATTTAACGATGGAAGTACAAACTGGTGACCAAGGAGGAGAATTATCTCGTAATCTCTCATACAATAGCTTAACTGTTTTTCTGAGATCTTTGTAGAAGTCTGAAACAAAGTTCAAGGATCCTAGGAACCTTTGTTAGTGAGTTTTGTCTCTTATTTCATCTGAGAACTTATCAACAAACTGGATAAATTTGCTAATAGGAATAATGGTCAACTGCTAGATGTTATATCCAAGAAATCTAATTGAAGTTTGAAATAATTTGATTTTATAAAAATATTTATCTATTTTGTAAGAACATATAAAATAACTTGATTTTATAAAAACATGTATATATGGTTGTGTTGAACTTACATCCCATCTGGAAGGATTAAACTCCTTTGGGTCGGGATAAATTGTAGGATCCAAGTGAACACTCCTAAACCAGGTCATAACTTTCCATCCCTTGGGAATCAGATACCCTGAAAAACATGATCTTTGAGTTAATTTTCTTAATATGAATTAATTAGTACATTTTAACACATAATTCAAGGTTAACACACCACATTTTAGTAAAATATGTATCAGTAGAATTCAAAAATATAGAATTAATCTTGTTGGACAGTTCATTAGA